ACTATATAAACATGCCTTACCTATTACAGTTTGGGTTAATTTTGTTTTGTTCATTGAAGTAAAAAGAATCTTCAAATGGAGGTATCTGGAAACCACAACTTCCACCTCTTTTTGTTGTGATTGAACTATTACACTCGGAGATAGTTTTAGATGTCCAAGCGTTATCCACATCAAAATCGTCATCATCATCATCATCTGGTTCCAAACAAAACAAAAACACATCTCAAAAACAAATATTTTGCAGCAGTATTCATTGGAACATCTGGGGAAATTCTGACTACTTAATAGAAGTAATACTCCAGGATTGCTCTTAGAGCTACAAGCCAGATTAATTCAGAGTGGGGCAGAGGACAAAAACAGTAAGAAGGAAAGAGGGGAGGATTGAGACATATTATTAAGTATTTTCAGTGGATTGATTTACACGGATATATGTTGTTAAACAGGGAACAGAATGAATAAACCAAAGCTTTCCTTGAGATTAAATTGCAAAAGAAGATGTAAAAACGAAACTAAACAAAATGCACTGAGATAAGCAACGTAAAGAAGGGGGAAAGCACCAACAGTTCAGGGATCAACAAATATGATTAAATTGGAACTTGGTACTTAAATAATGAAAGTATGACAGAATTAATTTCAAACAACTATGGGTAACAAAATGATCAGGGATAAACTGTGATTACCCAGTCTGGATAGGATCCATTTAGGATGCTGTAGGAATTAAGGTGCATATAGCAGAAGCTACAAGAACAATCCTTGCATATATGGAGATTTTTAAAGGCGTTTCATACAGTACCACATAAAATATTTAACCAAGGAACAATATGATGTTCTGTGATTGGCTAAAAGAAAGGAGTTAGGGAAAGAGTGTGCTAATAATTGGACGCTTTTTGACGAAAGACATGTAGTAGGGTCCCCCAAGATTCATTAGCAGGGTCTTTGCTTTAGCTCAGTATAGATGTTGCTGCTTTGGATACGGACAGAATTCCCAATTTACAAATGACAAAAACTAGGCTATGTAGTAGAAAAAGGGTAGCAACAGACTCAAGGAAGACAAAGACCAGAAAAACAGTCACATCGTTGATGCAATTTAAAATGTGTACTTGTCCCAGAGTGGGACAGAAAAGGAATGTAGAAGCATAGAAAGAAAAGCATCAAATAAGATTGAGGAAAGGGATGGCATAAAATATAAATTACTGACTTTTAGTTAAATGCATGTAGTATTTGGAACAAATAAATAAACTAACAGCCCAAATCGAAGCTAACCTCTATATATGGCTATAGCCATTTTATAGCCATTATCGAGACACAGTTACAGAGATCAAAAGGTGGGAACTAATTATGCAGGTGTATGTGACTTTTCAAAAGGATAGGCCAGAACGAAAGAGTAGCTTTGCTAGTATAGGATGGAATAAGTATGATAGCAAGTAATAATCTTGGAGTGTAAGATGTACAATCCATATGGGTGGAAGTAATAAATTACAGACGTTTTGCAGACAAGACAATAAATCAGGAGATATTTAGGGCATAGATGACTTAAATTTTTTAAGTAGACTAAGGAAATCAAATTGAAGGCCTTTCGTGGTGCAATTGTAGAGATCCTACCTCTGAACTAAGGGGCCTGGCATCGAGACCCACTTGCTCCAGAGAATTGTAATAATATCTGAAAATACCTTAAAAAAAAAAAGGGGTCAAACTGGCAAAACGTTGGAAAGTGGAACAATTCCTGATATTTATTCAGGAGTTACCTAAAGGAAAAAGTTAGGGTCAAACTAGGGATAAAGCTGTTCTGTGTCTGGTAATGTGCAATGAGGCAAGTTTTATAAACAATCTCAGTTATACAGAGAGATGTGGGTTTATTGGCATGTGAATCAACAGAAAGGTTAGTATCAGGGAGACCTAATGGAATGTTGATATTTAATGCAACAAGAATGGAATATAAAAATAGGCAAATTTTTCTGAAACTCAATGGGAAATTGGTGAGATTGCACCAAGAAAAACGTGTACAGGTTTGGTCATCTCATTTGAAAAGAAGTTCAGCATTCTTTTGAAGCAGTTCAGAAAAGGTCTGCACAACACATTTTTGGGGTGAGAGTTTTTTTAAAAAAAGGGAGTAGTTTGGTGATGGTAGCAGTGAGGAGAGACATACGATACCAGGAAGATGTTTCAATAAGACGGTTCCCTGTTGACACAGTTGAGGAAAAATTTTTGGAAGGGCTATTAGTACATGCAATTCTTTTCCCCACAGGGTAGCGAAGGCTAGATCTTTAAAGTTATTTAAGGCTCAGCCAGATAGATTTCTGATAGACAGGGAGTCAAGGATGTAAACAAAGATAGTGGAGATGAATTCACAACCAGATGAACTACAATCTTATTACACTATTCAATAAGTTCAAAAGGACCAAACAGCCTACTGTTACACTCAGGTCTTGCATTCCTTTATTTCAGGGATCAAAACAAAACATGCAGCTAAGTACTGGTTCCCTGCTTATTTCCTCATTTTAACCCCATCAGCATTTACTTTTTTAGTACTCTGCTCATTGTAAAGTTCCCTAGGAAAACTTCAACATTGAGCACCAAGAAATATGCAAATACCTATTACTCAGTGTACGGCACTGAAGCATTAATTTCAACAATACCTTTTGAACACAAACTGCTACTGGTCCAATAATTCAAGAGAATCTTGCAAGATCCAGTAGTCGTAATTTCTCCTTCCAAGTAAGCTGACAGACTGTATCCCATTTAACTTGTAGGATCAGTCAGAATGACAGATAAGTTTTGCCTTGTGATAAGATTATGCCCATCTTTGAATATATTCTCTTAAAATTAAATTGGTTGACAAGCAGTTAGTATCTTAGTTATCAAACTTGCCTTCATCAAGCTCTTGGCAGACCTTATCCAACTTGATCATTTTGGCAGAAGAGTCAAAACTAGCTCGCAATTTTCCAGGAGCCCAGGTAACCCTTCTCTTTCTTCTGGCCTAAAAACAAGTATGGAGAGCTATCATAGGATATGTTAAAATGTACACCGTTTGTTTCTATCCAGGCCTGGCAGCATATACAACTCATTTCTTACTGTCTAATCAGCCCTCCCCAATTAATCTCCAATGAAGCATTTTGGATATTCTTTTACACAACTAACCTCATAACTCCATAAACCCAACATGGCAAAATAAATGTTAGTTCACCTTATAGTACAACATTAACTTAATTTGGTTGCAAACATATGGGATTTTAAGTAGCAGCTCCAGGTCAAAGGGAATTAATCCAGCAAGTTCAGACAATGATTGACATTTTAGGAGTTGGATGGATCACCAAGTCATTCAAAGGTACAAGCAAAGCTACATACACTGACTATTCCTCCAGTCTCATGTCATAATTAACAAAGGCTAAATCTTGAAATTTCAAGTTATCCAGCATTCACAAATTGAGACAAAGCAAGTGTTGCAGACTTGCACTATCCTTTCTGGATTTCATTCCCAAATGGTCTAGCTCTGGTTACGATTGTATTCTTTGTCCTTGGTCCCTCAACTACACACACCCACTTTAAACCTTGCTCACATTTGCAATTTGTGGCTCCACTCTTTCTCTTCGATGCTCATCACTTTTGCATTCCTGCTGTATGGCCTTTGGGAGCAAAGACAAGTTGTTCACTGCACTTCTGCTTCTCCACCAGCACCGCTTCTAAGCTTGTATCTATATTATCAACTTGCCATTAAGCTGGAGTCAAAATTCTGTGAGCCAAAATCAAAGATATTATTTTTGGCCCCAACTTTCACCAATGCAAATTACTCAGAAACCTGTGATACCTCATGGAGAAATCACTGCAAATAACTGGACAATTTATAATACTCCTCTATTAGACCCCAAAGAAATGATAACTCACTCTTCCTCAAGTTTGAAAAAGGTTTTCATTTTGCACATTAATTGCCAATTCATCTCACTGAACTAAGTTAGGACTCTTGTGCAGTAGCTCGTCACCTTTCCATTGGTAGATTGGTGTTTCTGCCATGTTATTTAACCCTCCTGGTCCAGAAGGGAACAATTAAATTGTGGAAAGTAATTTCTACAGGTAGTTGTTTTTAGAAATAAATTTTTCCTTAATTTATTTCACCCACTTTCTTATCCATCATTCCTCAGGCATTTTTTTTTTGCTTTCTTAAACACATGCTGAAGCATATCTTGGCACCTTTCATTATTTATGCTTAAAACATACAGAACATTGCTCTCTAGTCAAAATCTATTCCCGAAACTTATGTTGTGATTTGTGCAATAAAATTGTTTTTTTTTGTAGAAGTAGCCAGGAACTTAAACAACTATCTTATCACACTATTATAACTTGCATGTAAAAATCATACAAAATGGCTCAACCAGCACAGAATACGAGGATATCCCTGAACTTGAACAGGGATTTGAAACAATACCTTTTCTTCAATGCTCGTGGGATCCCTATCACTAAGCCCGTAAGTTTCTTCAATGTTAACGCTCAGACAGAACTTGTACCACCTCTTCAAATAACAATTTGCTTTTGAATTTGACTTTTGAAGTTTAATCCACAGAAATAGTTCAGACAATCTACTAAAGACAAGACATTGGTTCGAAAAAGATACTTACCTTCATTTCTTGGTCATCATCAGTTGAAACCCTGACGAGCATTCTTGTCAAGTTCTTTATTTTCTGCTCATGCTCCATTTGAAGGATATGCTTTTCTGACAGCAGTTGAGCTTTCTCCATTGCTTGAACACGAGTCTCCGAGGTGAGCTGCACAGCAAAAAGGTATTTGTCACTTTACACACATGATCATAAGAAAGAAAATAGGCCATTTAGCCCATCAAGCCTCCCTACCATTCAATAATATCGCAGCCTTAACTCCACTTTCCTATCTGCCCCATAATCTTGGATCCCACCTTCAATATAAGAATATTTTTGATGGACAAGGCGGAGTTAGAAAGTGGTCCAGCCTCCACTGTTCTCAGGGCAAGAGAATTTCAGACATTGATCAGAGAAGAAATTCCTCCTTCCAGTCTCAAGATTGAAAGAGACCTCTTATTTTGAAAATGGTCCCCTCTACAAAGGTGAAATTTCTCAGCATCAATCCTGTCAATTCTCCGAAGAATCTATTATTTGTCTAAACTCCAATGAGTACAAGTCCAACAAGCTCAACTTTCCCTGTTATGGCTACCCCATCCAAAGAAACAGCCAAGGAACGTTTTTTGACCTGCTTCCATCAAGTATAATCCATCTTAAGACAACAAAATTGTACACAGTATTCCAAGTGTGCTCTTCCCTAGATGCTACAGCATTTTGGTATCTCTCTTCAGTTAAATAACACTGCTCTTTTTTTAAAAAACATTGTTCCTGCCAAAGTACACATTTTTCCACGTTATATTCTTTCTGCTTTTTTTTGCCCACTCACTTAATCTATCGATATCCTTTTACAATGTCTTTGTATCTTCCTCACATCTTGCCCTTTCACCCATTTCAGTATCAGCAGATTTGATAACAATGCAGTTGGTAGCAGGTGTCATCTTTTTGTCTGCGTTAGACACTGCCACAAAACAACAAAAGCATCCAATTAAATAGGTCAAAATGATTATGCAACTAGAAATTAATGAGCTTTGGGGGAATGATACCTTCCTAAAATGTCAAGTAAAAGACCACATTTATGCTCAGAAAAGGGTACTGATGATGCTTTGGCTTGATATTGCTACATGCTCAATCAAATGTGTTTTGGGCTCTTACCTCAGATTATGCAGACACATGGGTCTTACCAAAAGTCTTGCCAGCTTCTCTCGGTGAAAGTTAATCACTTTTACTAACTCATATCCTTATGCATTCAAGAAAATGTGATGCAAAATACCAAACCACCCAGTTAAATTGAATCCTTCATCTTTTGATAATTTGAAGGAATCATGGCAAGACAAAGTGACCATAAACAGAAAATTGTCAGAAGCTGCAGACTGCAGAAATTTTGTACCTTCCCTGTGTTATGAATGGAGCACAACTGGGTATATACACCAAGGTAGCAGCCAACCTAGGGATCTCCGAACGTGATAGCCAGCATTTCCCATCATTCCAACATTGAATATTACAACCATATAGGTATAAGGGAAGGTTCTTATGTTGCAGCGGTAATGTCCTGATATCTAGGCCAGAAGCCCTGGGCTCAAGTCCCTTCTGCTCCAGAGTTAGATTCACTGGGTTGGATCAGCCAGTTATGAGCAATTTTAATTTCTCATCAACTATTCTCCGTTCATTGATAAATTTTGGAAAACTTCACTTCCAATGGAACTCTCTTTACCAAATCCTGAAGAATTTTGTTACTTTAGGTATTAAATTGAGAAAACAAGCCCGAACAATATTTCTCAATTAGCATTAACTTACTTCTTCCAGTTGGTTTGTCAGATCCATTATTTCCTTCCGACACCGCTTCAACATTGCTTGCTCATCCAATACTTCATTCACATGAGGCGTATTCTTCATGAATTTGGCAGTACTTGCAAACTAACAAGAAAAATATATCACATGCTTGGATTTGGTTAGTGTCTGTTAGGGTGGTGGGGCAGCAGGTGTGCACATTAACCTTCTATGGGAGAACTTTCTCTATCCAGTCCTTTCTTTTAGCTTTTCCCATATTACATGATGTCACAATGCGAGTTGATCACACTTTCACAACAACCATCATTTTTGATTTTTTTTTAGAAAAAAAATTACTGTTGCCAACTCTACCCATTTATCCAGGTTGAAGACCAGGTCCAAAACATTTGGCTTGCCAGTGCCAGTTGTTGGGTTCTTTCTTAACCAAGTCTGGAACGAAACTGCAATGTGACAATAAAATCTGAACCTAAATCAAGACAACGCTTTCCACCTCAGAATCAGGACCGCAACCACCAAATCACTCGTACTCCGGAGAAAATTCTTTCTCCGATCAATACAAATCAGTTAGTCAAATTATTTGTGATTCACGAGACCTTGTTTCCAGAAAGAAATTAACAAATTTTAAGTTATGCATAATTTGTTAATATGCTATCATATTTTTAAAGAAATCATAAACAAGCCATTAAAACTCCAATCACAAAATATCCAGTGCTGAGGAGTACACAGAAACTGAACTTCATATGTGGTCACTGGAAAAAACCTCTTTTTTTTTTCAATGCTTTACACATATTTGTGCATGGCTCCTTAAATCTATGTCCCCATCACTTGGTTTACCTCCCGGCACATTTTAGAAAGTTTAGCAAACGCGGACTGATCATCACATGTGAGAAGAACCGACAGCAAACTACAACTCGAGATTTGGAAAATAAATAACAGTAATAAACTGACAGGAGATGAAGGAAACTAGATGAGCATGGACTATGACATTTTTAAAAAGGCAAAGAGATTAGTTAAACGGCTAAATTGCGAATATAAGAATTGAAGAGCGATCAAAGATACTAGGAACATTTAACAGATGCATGCCAAATGTAACCCCAAACTAAACCAGCCCTACCTGGCTGCTCCGGGATCATATCTCTGTAAACCTCTTATTCACGTACCTAGCCAAGTCACTTACTTCGGTCGGGGAGATGTGGTTGGATGTGACACAGTTGGGTGAGGGGTGAGGGGTGAGGGGTGAGGAAGATCGACTCTGATGACTGGAACAGAATTTCTTCAGAGATGGAAAGTTAGTAATCAGAATCAAATGCCGATTTGAGAAGAATAGGAGCAGATATTTAAAGGAATGACATCATAGGAGAGCAAATTGCGTGATTAGTTGGTTTTATAATTTTATTTTGTCTTTAGCCTAGGAAATTAATTTGCCATTGCTTTGCTAAATGAGTAACTTCAACTAAATAAATGAATCGTTAGAACTAAAATGATCAACTGCACTAAAGAACAAGTTAAATAAGAGTCATAGAGGTATACAACACTGAAGCAGGCCTTTCAGCCCAACTTATCCACGTTCCCTAAACTGAAATAGTCCCATTTGCCTGTATTTGGCCCATATAGTCATAATCAGAGTCATACAGCACAGAAACAGACCCTTCGGTCCAAACAGTCCATGTCAAACATAACCCCAAACTAAACCAGCCCCACCTGTCTGCTCCTAGGCCATATCCCTCTAAACCTCTCCTATTCACGTACCTATCCAAGTCTTTTAAATGTTACAATTGTACCTGCATCTACCACTCCTCTGGCAGAACGTTCCACATACGAGCCACCCTCTGCATGAAAAAGTTGCCCTTCAGGTCCCTTTTAAATCTTTACCCTCTCACTGTAAACCTATGCCCTCTAGTTTTAGGTTCCCCGACCCTTTCCAAAGGAAAAAGACCTTTGCTATTCACCTTATCTATGCCTCTTATGATTTTATAAACCTCTATAAAGGTCACCCCTAAGTTTCCTACATTCCAGGAAAAAAAAAAGTGCCCCAGCCTATCAAAGGTCTCCTTATAAATCAAACCTTCAATCTCGGTAACATCCTTGTAATGCTTTTTTGCACCCTTTCCAGTTCAATAAGATCTTTCCTGTAGCATGGCAACCAGAACTATACACAGTACACCAAATGTCACCTCACCAATATCCTGTACAACTGCAACACGATGTTCTGACTGCTGAAGGCAAGCATGCCAAACACCACCTTCACCACCCTGTCTACCTGTGACACCACTTTTAAAGAACTATGTCCCTGCACCACTAGGTTGCTCTGTTTGACAACACTCCCAGGGCCGTACCTTTAGTTGTGCAAGTCCTGCCCTGGTTTGTTTTCCCAAAATGCAGCACCCTGCATTTATTTGAATCAAATGCCATTTGCCATAAAATTAATAAAAAGCTAGCTGGGCATGGCAGGGCAGGTGGTATGTGCTAGCTACAGCATGTTAAGAGATTGCAGAAAGGATGCAATCTTATCAGTGGTGAGTTATCTGCAGCTTAAGGAGATTCAGCTGAAAATTGTTGGAGTTTAAGTTGTAATTTACAGGAAGGGTACCATTTCTGTGGTATGGTGGTTATAACATTTGAGGGCCCTCTTGTGGCACAGTGGTAGGGTCCTCATCCCGGGACCAAGAGTCCTGGGTCCAAGTCCCACCTGCTCTAGAGACGTGAAACAACATGCCTAAATAGGTAGAATTTGCAGGAGGTAGGGTTCTTGTAGCATAGGAAACGTAGGTTCAAATCCCGTCATACTCAGGATGATGGGTTGGTGGTAGTGCATGCATGTGATGGTGATGGTGATGGTGGTGGTGGTGGCGGCGGTGGTTGGGGGCGGGGGGGCACGACGGAAGAAGCAGGGTGGAAGATAGAAAGAGACACAGTGACGTGGCCATCATAGAACATTATATGGCCAAAAGGAATACGTGCTACCATCGCAGTCATGGCTGTGTTTCGAAGCTTGCATTGTCTATCTTGTGCTAGGGTTAAAGGCATTGCCTCACAACTAGAGACAATCGTGAAGGGAACGTTCCCTCACTCAACGCCCTTTTTCACTCCTCCATCACTTCCTGACCGCTCTTCTTTTCCATTCAAGCACCAGAGAGCTAACGGTTTTTTAAGCTCCCCTCTTCTTCCAATCCAAGGCCCTAAATAGACCTTCAAAGTAAAACAGCAATTCACTTGAACTTCTTTCAACTACTTATTCTGTATTCATTGTTCAGAATTTGATCTCTTCAATGTAAAGGAGACCATACCTAGACCAGATGAAGGTTTGTCTCCAATAATGCTTATGGTATCAAAATTATTTATCAAAGAAAGATGGGCACAAAATGAACGATATACTCTTTTACAAGCTGTTCTCCAATTTTCTATCACTGATGCTACTCACTAACCTAAAATTCTAAAACATCCTTATTTGAAGATTCCTTAATATACTTCCTTCTAATTATTAAAGTTAGATACATGATTAGTGTGCGTGAAACGCAAAGTGTACTGTAAAGCAAGACCTCCAGCTGTTTAAGCTTTGGCTTCACGTACCAAAACTAAAACAGTTAAGCTACAACAACAGGCAGCATCAAGGGAATGACCCCTAATTGCAGAGGCATATACTACTTGGTGGAAATAAAATGCTTCTCGTGAAGTCATCCCTGCCTCCACTGCTAGAGGGCACAAGCGCAATGCTCATGTAATGATTGCTTGCAGGTTTGTTGCCCACAGTTCATTACATCAAATGAAACTAGGGAACAACAAACAATACATCTTAAATTTAAAGCTGAAACCTTCACATAACCCTTCCAAAAAAATCCTGCTGTACATTAAAATGGCAATGCACAAAACTCTGCCTATCAACACAATGCCCTCAAGAGGTCTCTTCTATTGTACGTGCTCTTGGGCATCATGTTGCAATACCAGCATCCACTAGAAGTTACTGGTGATCCACTTTCACAAACCACTGCAGTTCAAGTGACTTAGGTACATCCACATGATAAAAGGGAGTTTTAGGATTTTGACCCAGTGATAGCCAAATATTTTAAATTCAGGATGGTTTGTGACTCGGAGGGAAATTTGCAAGTTTCCATCCATCCATTGCTCTAGTTCTTATTTGATAGAGGTCACAGATTATCTTGAGGCAAGTGGCAGCAAAGCTTTATAGAATTCTAGTTTTTTTGTGAAAGGTTTCAGTTAAATTCCCATGAGCAAGGAACATTCAGGCTCTCTTACATCACTAACCCTTATTTCACTTCAAGTCACTAGAATTACATGCAGTCAAGTATTCTAATTTAAAAAGGATGCTTAGGATTTGGAAGTTTCAAGACAGTGTTGAAAAGTGTTGACAACTTGGGAAATCTACGTCTGCAAATACTTTCTTCCTCAAGCACTAATGCTCCATCTTTGAGCCTGTTTTCAGCAGATTATTAGCAGACACCGACACTTGAAATTTATAGGGAGAGGTTTATTTGAAGGGATCAGAAGAGAAAGGTGAGAGGATAAAGAAGAATGGAAAAAAAGTCTCACCTGTAGAGTACTCAGAGTTTCCTCAAAACTAACTGGAGTAATTGTGCAAATGATCAGGGTTTTTGCATTGCCCCCAAGTGAATTCTGCAGAATCCGTGTCAGCTTACTGTCCCTATAATTTAGAAACCCACTACGGAAGAAAAAAAAAAATTGGTCAGAAAGGCAAAAGCATTAATATCCTTATCTATTCCTGCAAATTTAAAAAGGACCTTCCAGTTGTAGATTAGCATTAACTATTTCACATTCCAAGTGAAAAAAGACAAGATAATTTTATTCAGGAATTGCAAACAGAATAGTTTCCTACCCAGCTTGTCCATCACTGAGCTTCTTTATAACTTGACCAAGTACAAACAAACTACGGTTGATAAAACATCCTTCTTTTAGGCGGACACCTAAAATGATAGGAAAAAAGTCAATATTCCTTCACACAAATAAGTATGACAGTTTGAAGCATCTCTGATGCAGAATTTTAAAGATGCCAAATAGTACAAAACACTTATGGTAGCTAAGCTTTCAATTTTAAATCATTTTCAAAAAAAAAAAAAATACTTCAATACAAGGTGCCAGGGGTTTGATTTTTCTCTAGGAGGAATCCAAAAACCTTTACGATTGTAGACACTTAACTGATAGAGGAGGCTAGTAACCAACGCGGAGTGATTCGTTAGAGCAATGGCTAAAAGATTATGGATTTTGCTTTAACTGCAAAATGATTACACTGCTAACCTTGAAAAAAAGTTATACAAAGACATAGATATTAACTATGATCTCAATTTCTCTTTTGCAAATATTAATTTGAACGCAGCACGAAGTCAACGAAAGCTATACATCTCACAAAGTTTTGTGAAGCAGGGTAACATGACCTTGAATTGTCTAACAGCAACAAGGAGATTAAAAGCATTGTGACACACACTTGGAATTAGGGTGAAAGTTGATATACTATGATCTGAATTTTCCAGTGGTCATTGTTAGATAAGGTAACAGTTAAGAAAGAGTTGCTATATACTGAAGACTGATTTACATTCCCTTTATGAAGTCATAAAAACTTGGGCAGATAAAGTCTTTAGACCTTGAAGGGTATAGATCCTTTTTAGTCTTCCAATAGCCTTATTAATAGTGTTCATCTTCCTAATGCAACCTGTACATGATTTTTTTTTTTAAATCACGCAATAAGCCACATTTATTTAAGGCCTCTTCTCTTTACACTACCTAGTGGTTTTCCTGAACCATTTTACACCAAGTAGGTCCTGCAAACCCCAAAGAGGAGGGTGGTGACAGCTAGCTACCGACCAAATGCCAGTGGTTGGCATCGCATGCATATATGCAAGAGGTGACAAAAATTTTTCATTGTTTACCATCATTACTCCACTTGAAACTAAAGCAACTTTGAATTTGCATATGCATAGCAAAGCAAAATTCAAAAAGTTGCCACCAGTCATTCTATACTCTGGAGATTTATAGTCTGGGGTAACCTTAGAAGCATAATTAGAAATCACTGAACTGCATGGGTGTATGTCAATTGGTTGGTTTGAACACTGTAAGAGCAACAGTAAGTTAACTGTTAAATTTTACGCCATTAAAAACAAATATGTTACAGAGCCACTAGGCTGAGAAAATAAAACATTTGATGCTGCCCGAGTAAGAACATATACTGGGATGGGGAGAAGAAAGCAAAATTTGCAGGATTCACTGAGCATATATCGTCTCCAGACTTAAGTGATAACGGAGGAGTTCCCTTCCTCAGGATGCCTAAACCAAGTGTGGGCATAAGGTGTAATGTGTCAGTTGGAATTCAGAGTCACGAGTGCTACCATGTTCAAATCCCACTTCAAGCTTGAGCCAAAATATCAAGGCTGACACCCCACTGCAGTTTTGAGGTAGATTGTAATTTTGGAGGCGCTGTCTTTTGAACGAAACTTTAAACGAAGGCCCCATCTCCCTGCTTCAGTGGAGCTAAAAATATTCTACATTCTTACACCAAAGAAGGGCAGCAGTTATTTTTGTTATCCTGTCCAATATTACGCCTCAATCAACATCACAACACAAAAAAAATAAGACAATGTCATCATGATCAGAATGCTGTTTGTGTGATTTTGCTGAGCACAAATTAGCTTAGGCTTTTCCTAAATTATGATACTGATTAACCTCAAAAGAACTTAAGTGATTGCAAAGTGCCTTGAAATACAAGTGGTCATAAAAGGCATGATAGTAAGTACATTATTCTGGTATATGTGGTACATTCAACACTGATCAGCAGCAATGAAGACCCGAATACTTTGGGCTTATTCGTTTTCAAACGGAATGCAGATTTGAAAGAGACAAACTACCAGTATTCAGTAGACTGTACTTCCCAAAGAATATAATGATTGCGTACAATTAGTTTGTTAAATAGTTAAATTGGAAGAGCTTAAAGCATAGGTATAAGTCAGTTATCAACTGTCGGACATTAGTTAGAAAACAAACTTGCCTTCAGCTCCTGTTTGGCTGGCACGTTCACTGCCTGCCAGATCAACTAAATTCTGTAAAAGAAAAGCATTGATTCAAGCCTGGACACAAAGAACAAAAATTGCTTATTCACTGAATTTTGCACTTCAGAAAGAAAAAAAACCGTTACTTTACCACACTCAAAATTGGGTACATTAATTCACAAATCATTCAATATGTTCCAAGTCAGGGTTTCTCGAATGGGTGTCAGGACCCAAGTGCTGTCACAAAATGGATGCTGTGGAACTCTGACTAAGTTATAACAATTGTACCCATGCTGTGACAGAAACCCGCATTCGGCCCCAGATCCCCACCTTCCCTTTCCAGGTTTCAGGTTAACCGCAAACCCCATATGGGTCTTATTGAATTTGAATAAGAATTTTCAAGTCTCAAAATGGGGCCAGTCAGGAAGGAAAAAATTGGGTAGCACTGCTCCAAATAAATTACAAAACAGCTCTCCCAAAATGATCCTGCTTCATTTAACTACAGGAAAATCAGCTGTCAACAAAACCCCTCTGTTTGAATTGCAAAGAATAGTTTGGTTTCAAGAAAGAACTTGCCACAAACCATCCAAGACATAAATGCACTGTGCTGACAACTAGCTTCTCACAGCCATAAACCCAAAATAAAAGTCTGGGCAGAGATTACACCTGAAGTCACTTGCTAAGTATTCTCAGCTGACTTGTGCCTTCAAACAACTTGCAAATCAAAACTTATAAACGACCTATGAATTTTCATTTGCTAACAGATTAGGCCTACATATTGATAGGACCATGTTTATCAATGCAGGAGAACATGCACCAGCTTAAGGTGGAAGCAGCTTACTAAAGCTTGGATTCCCTTTTAGATCCAAGTGATTTGTTCTGACATTATGTTTAAAGAATACCCCCTGTTCCCTAGCACGGTGTACAAATGTTAATTACATTCAATCCCAAGTGAAAGTCCAGATTAATAGTTCATAGACTTAAAATGAAATTTGAACAATGAAGTAAAACATGGGCAAAAGGTAAAATGCAGCTACTGCATTCAGAATGGCAGATGGTGAAAAGTGAGCTCCCATATGGATCACTGCTGGGTCCGGTGTTCCCAATTTATGACGTGAATGCTAGTGGATTACACATTAGTAATTGACAAGAGGAAATCAGGATCATTTCTGCAAAATGAAACAAAACCCACAATTGGATCAAATATGGCTGGTGCATTAAGTTGTGACAAACAAAACATTTAATTCAGACATTCAATTTCACTATGAAGTAACAAAATCAGGAATGCTGCATCCTGTAGTATGCATCGCTATGTGTCATATGAGATCAAAAAAAAAATCAACGTCAGTAAATGTATCACTTTACCACTTCCTGCTTAATATTCATGCACCAAATACATTGATTGTTATCATGTTCTATGGGTTTAATTGATTACCGTTTCCAGATAAAGAAATATTACTGAATGGTTTAAAAAAAAAAAAAAAAAATTGGCCAATACCACATCTGCTTTCTGGGCCACTTCACAATAATCTAATGCATGAAATTTTTTTTGTACTTGGTGGCAAAAATAAGGAAGTCTCGATACAATTGTGCAGGGTTACAGTGAGACCACACCTGGAGTACTGCATTCAGTTGGACCTCCATAATTAAAAGGACAAATTTGCACTGGAGGCAGTACAACAAAGATTTGCCAGGCTGGGGTAAGAGGACTGGCTTATGATGAGACACTGAAGAAAACAGAATTGAAATTTGAGTTAAGAGCAATGAGGTGTGACATCACAAACAAGATTCTGAATGGGCTTGAAAGGATAGATAAAACTATTTACCCTGACTGGGAAATCTGGGACACAGGGGCAGACACAGGATAACAGGGTGGTCAACTTAAGATTAAAGATGAGAAATAACATCTTTACTCAATGGGTGAATTTTTCATATTCTCTACCCCAAAGGGCTTTGGATACTCCATCGTCAAGTATTAATCAGAGTTATACAGCACGGAAACAGACCATGCTGAACACAATCCCAAACTAAACTAGTCGAATCTGCCTGCTCCTGGCCCATATTGCTCCAAATCTTTCCTATGCATGCTCTTATCCAAAAGTCTTTCAAATGTAATCATACCCACATCCACCACTTCCTCAGGAAGTTCATTCCGCACACGAACCACCTCTAATGAATGAATGAATGATTTTTCTGTTATATTATTATACTGTTTTTCTCTCTAAAATAAGAGTGAAAAGCTTTTCTACTGTCACTGCAAACCAGTGCCATTTTGAAGAGTTTTAAGACAACAAAAAAATAGAAAAGACATAGCTTATAGAGAGTCCACCAGTCTTGAGCCTCATCAACAACACCATTCCTCCTCCACTGCCTCGCTGCCATCTACATCGGACCCAGCTAACATTGAAGTCACCATTCTACAGGCGTCATCCTTTACCGCTGGGCCTATTTTCCTCCGTCACCACCTGCACCACAGTCGCAGCTCTCACTACTCCGCCCACATTGAGGTCACCATGATGCCTTTCCATTGCCGCCAGCTCTGGACCCAACCAATGCCGAAGAGGCTGATCCTCAGGTGCTATCTTTCACCACTGGGTCTACCTCAGGTGACATCGCCTCCGCCATTTCCAATGCCAGGTCCCATGCTTGCTCCAGAAAAGTAATGGGGGCTTACTCATCACTGCAAGGTCCACGCTCAGCTCATTTGCCACCGCCAATGGGTGACAAAAGGCAAGTAAAGGAAAGGAGAAGAAGAAAACAGGAAAAAAAAAAGAAAAGAGCAGTTGTAGCGGACGAGACCTGGCTCAGGAGCCTTACAACGCCATCTACATCAGGTTGAGATAAACACAACCACTTCCATCTAGGGCAGCAGATATCTAGGAACACCACCTACTGCAAACTACCCCGCCCAAGCCATTAACTGTTCTTACTTGGAAATATGTAGCTATTGCTTCATGGTCACTGGGTCAAACTGGAAATCCTTCCTCACTGGCATTACGGGTTTCCTTAGAGCACATGAATGCAGCTGCTTAAGGCTGCAACTCACCACCTTCAAGGGCAATTAGGAACAGCATTAAATGCTGGTCAGCCAGCAACATCCATATCCCATGAATGATTAAAAAATATTGGTGGCTAGGAAGTTGGAGCCTGAATATGATCATTTTGACTGTTGTCACAAGACAAAGGACATCTATGGTTGACACTTGCTCCTTTTTTTATAAAAAATGTTATGCTCTAACTCACTCCAGGTGTGTAGAGAGAAGCAGTTTCAAAAATCAGCACATTGTAAAATAATACAAAGAAAAATAACCTTCTGGCTGCTGAAATAAAGTTAATATAGTTTCTAAAAGCCAGGCAGAATGTCCTCGCCTGTTTTTGAGATGGATTCTGAATCCAGCATAAGGGGCAAAAAACTGTGTCTAGCAAAAGTACCATCTCACATCTCAATTACTAATTCCTGAATCAGGATGCGAAATGGTTACTCTTGTCCAAGAAGGTTGACAAATATTCAAAAAAAAAAAAAAAAAATTTCACCAGGATATTTAATACTAGAGTCACAAACTTAAAATGTTTAACTTTCACCCAGCATAAGAGCACATTTAAGCTTGAGTAAATAATGATCTCACTCTTCCCAGAGTGCAATGAAAATAGTTCTCCTGATTGTAAACACTTTTTTTTTTAACAATAAGGCAGGGGCTATTAAGCAATGGAATTTTCAGTCATTGAAACAAAGCAATCGCAAATCTTGTATCAAAATATGATAAAACAGTTCATTCTTGCTTTGCAGATTAATAAATTGACAATACAAAATTACACTAAAGAAATAAACTTGTATCTTACATCATAGAACAGAATTTAACATTTGAAAGCTTTTTTTTTAAAAACGTCTGCAAAAGTGAAGAACTATCGAAGAAAAGTAATGACAGAATAAATTCAAGGCCTTCAGAAAATTGTATACTATGACTGCCAGGTTGTGATCAAAAGCCGTGCCAGACTTTATCATGGTAATCCCAGATACTACACTTAGCTTAGCAGTGCGCATTCTTGCCCCAAGCGTTTCAGCTGTATTTGCATTTAGTTTTCTTGCCGTATTATCATTGGTGCACAACTCAAACATCAGCATCTGATACCAACAACAGCCTGACATATGTAAATTGAGGCAGTCATTCAAACATTGTACATAGTTAAGGGGCAACTAATCATCCCAGGCAGCCAGAAGGATTCTCATTTCTGGTTAAGCTAGAACACTAAGATTAATACGGCAAGATTCAGACCTTCCGTCGATTTAAACAAAATAGAATATAAACTTACCAAGTGTGCAACAATAACTGCTTCATTATTTTTGTCCCTGCTTTCTACAATCTGAAATAGAAAAGTAATTCGAATCAGAATGCATAAAACTGATTTTTAAAAAATTGAATCTTGAACCACAGAAGTACTCCAATCATCCCTAATGTTACAAGACATCTTAAAGCACAACACAGTGTTTGAATTATATACTGCTTTCCATCAGTGGAAATGTTCATTTCAATAATTTCTTCTTTAAACTAGAAATGATCATTTGTCACCACATTCATGATTATGAAATACTTCACCACAGAAAATAAGCCAGACAACTCAACCTGCTATCATTTGCACAAGGATGGAGTACAAAAGCAGTTTTATAAATAAACATTCACATTAACGTCAAAACCTTACTGTCACATTAGCACATTCATTCACAAAGTGAATAACTGTGAAATAGAAAAGATCACAAGAGATCAGAGGCTATGAAAAGACTTTGTGATATTGTACTTTAACGCTTCTCATTCAGCATTGGATATTTAAATACATCTTTGCTATAACAGGCACCTAATGAACCAGCACTCCTGATAAACTGGCAAAAGTTAGATATGTAAAACACCAGACATCTACCGTACTATTGCAATCTCCACGATGTCCACGTATTCAGTTGAGGGTATGAGTGAGAAGGCTCTCGGAAGGCTCTTGGTAAGTTTTATTAAAGTTGTTAAAAATTTAAGTAATTTCTGCTGTAAATTAAGTATAACAGTGATGTATATACACCCTGCATTATGTCTCTATTACATGCGGACCTCTTGATCAACTGGATTATTTGATCAACTAGTACACTGCTGGTCCCATAGGTCCCAGTTAATAAAAAGTTTGCTGTATGATCATAAAGGTGCCCCTCATTTTTCCTCACAGGGATAATCAGGAGACGAAAAATATTAGAACATACCAATCTCTGTTGTTTCTTTCATGAGTCGATTATGGATCAAGCTATCTAATCTACAACAGTTTTACAATATATTGTTCTGGATCACAGTATCATAAATTTTATTTATAGATAAAAAATATTCAGTAAAAATGATACAGCGGAAAGCCTATGGGAGTGGGATATCACCAGCAAGCCTGCCATCAGAAAAAAAGTTATATGAAGGACAATGAGATTTTTCTCCCCCCTCTCTCAGTCTGTGTGGAGAGACAATTCCAACTATGGTTTAACCGCAAACTATGGACAACAATGACTTTTTCATGTTGCAGTACAGTATTGGAAACATGGGCATATTGCAATGTCACAGACTGAAAACTTCACTCTCTCAATGAGTGACTTTAAGTTATGTCGATTGAAATCGCTTCTGATTTTGCTTCATGCTTTCATTGAATTATGAAAACTTCAATTGTGACAAATTCAGAAATTAATTTGATTTTTCTCCACACACCCCTTCATAAAAGGATTGTCACCAGTAAGGCTGCAGTACTTTAATCCTTTAGAAAGGTCTGTCCTTTTGGGGATTTAAGGAATGGGCAAGGCAGACCAAATTTATGTTAATACTCTTGGCATGACAGGATCTTGAAACAGCAATTATTAAATAGCAGTGACTAACATATTTATTTTCTCTTATTAGAATGTTTTCACTCTTGCTAAGCAGTGTGGATAAGCTTATCAATGCATTACCTGTATGTTGTAGAATTTAAATCATTAGGAGTATTGATGGTTTAATAATCTTGCAGCTTTTATTCATCCAACCCCAGTTCTCCTCAGAAATAGCAGCAAGCCTTCTTATACTGCTGTAATCTAAGTGGTCAGGCTACACCTACAGTACCATTAAGTAGATGGTTCCAGAATTTTTACCATCAAATGAAAGACTACCAATATCTCCAAACAAGATGGTGTGTGACCTGAAGGTAGAGGTGGATTTACATAATCCCCTTCCCATGGGGTCTCCATCACCTAAACAAACAAGTTTAAGATGAGACATCAGATGATACTCGAGAAAGTAGGTGTGACCTACATTTTTCAGGGGGACACAAGATGATACAGTATGATGTGAACAATAGCAGGGGAAATTTCACAGTATCCTTCCAAATATCTCCCTATTAACCAACACCGTTTCTTAATAAAAACTACTGCAATTATCTCATTGCTATTCACGAAGCCTTGCTGTGCACAAACTAGGTGCCTTTTAGAGACCACATTTCAAAATGTGATTGCAAAGAATTGAGACATCCCGAGATCATTAAAGTAGCTATGCATATACACACGATTGATTGCTCAAAGAGAATAACTTCATGGACAACCATATCCTTACCACTCTAAAAATTGTATGTGACCGACTACTGTGCTCATTCATTTTGGTTTCTCCATAATGTCGGTTTTCTGAAGAGGAAAAAAGTCAGAGTAACTTCATTTTAGAATCAGGCATTAGGTTTTCATAGCAAACAACAAGGCAACACAAAGCACTTGGAAGTCATTGTTGCTTTTTCCATGTGTTTTGGGACATTAGCTTCCTGATCTTGCACAAATTACTTTTGTTTTATATTCATCTCAGTTACGGATATCAGCACTGGTAAATAAAAGCACTTACTTGAATATTGTCATCTCTCCCAAATGAGGGAGATTAGGGTCAGAGAAATTCTCCTCACAATCCCCAAAAGCTCATATTATTTTTTAAAAAAAAAAAAGAAATAAATAAAAGCCATGTACAAAACCTTCTGATGATGAATAGTGCAATTAAAAGTCACAATTAGTGACTTGCAATTTGTCAGCTAAGTCGGATCGATTCCAGTATTGTGAACCTAAACTCACTTAGAGTTCAATATGGACTAAGGTACATAGTTAAAGTACTAAACTGAGTACTCGTGAAAACCTTTTGCCCAAACTGCATTTGAAGCCACAATTCATGAAGTGAAAAGATAGCGTGTTAAGCTGGCGCATTGTATTTTCCAGATATCCTTGTTAGTTCTAATTTCAGAAAAGTTCCAGATATACTTAATGGAAGTGGCAAGTAGATTATAGACACATCAAATAAACAGGCTCACAGAATATTTTAAATATTAGAAATATACAGGAAACATTTGGAGTCTGTGCCCTAAACAAATTCACAATGCATTCAAAACTTGGCAAATAGAAAGTGGGTGTAATGGGGCAAAGAGTTTGTCCACAAGTGAAGAATTTTATTTTACATGAAACCCTAATACTAATAGTAAATTTTGCATTGTGAACAGGGCTTTCATCTTACTTTCTCCTTTCTGGACCAATTTCATTACATCCTCATAGGTTACGGCCAACTCCTCAGTCAGATTGGCAACATAAACAGTACGCTGGAAAAAAAATAAAAAAGTATTAATTTATTTGAAATCTTACTTGTATTCATCATTAGAATGCAATTCACAAACTAAATTCAGGCCAGTACAAGAGAAACTTGTTCAGTTTTAAACTGGACAAAGGAATTTTACTACTAACATGAAGCTGGAAAAAAATCTGAAACAGAATGCTGGAGAAACCCTGGCAACATCTGTGGAAAGAGAAACAGAGTTAAGATCAAGTCCACTATGTGTTTTCTTCATAACTTCATGTTCTGAAGAAGAATCATACTGGACTCAAAACATTAACTGTTCTCTCTACAGATGCCACTACACCTGCTGAGTTTCTCCATTGTTCCTGGTGTTTATGATTAACTTGGATTGCAAACCAATGAATAGTCAGCAGTTTCTAGAATAACAAGATCCAATCAACAAACACAAACACACAAGCTTTAAAGAAAAAAAATTTGAAATCTTAAACTTTTGCTCAGTAACATACAAGAACTCTAGAAGAATGAAATTAACTACGTTAAAAATAAAATACGGACATCATTTGAATGCATATTTAGAGGCACTTACTTCCATATCTTCTCTAACTTCTAGGGGTCTTCTTTTTGGACCAACAAGCAAATCAGATACAGACTCATTGTAAATTTCCATGTAAGAAACCCGCAACAAAAATTCCCTGTTTGGTGTCTGGGTAGAACAAAAACCACATGAGTAGGAAAAAGAATATTCCTGTCCTTCAATTACAGGAGAATCCAAATAACACAATCTAAATTTACAAAGCGACTAATTTCTGAGTCTGAGGCTTTCAAGGCATTCCAAAGAGTATCAAACCCAATTAATTATCTTCAATTCTTCAGAAAGAATACATCCAAAACATCAACATGCAATTCAACCTATTCCAATACCTAAATTAAATATTTTCCCTTCAAGCACTTGGTCAATTTGGCTGAACATCACGATTAGTCACAGTGATGAAGGTAGATTCAAAGTTAAAGCTCGTGGAATCAAAGGGACAGGAACAATGTGGACACAGAACTGACTGAGTGACAGGAAGGAGAAGGATGGTCAGTGGACACTTGTCAGGATGCAGAAACGAGTGTAGTGGAATTCCCCAGAGTTCAGTACTGAGACTCTTGCTTCACTTGATATTTAATGGTGACCTAGAACTTGGTCTAGATCTTAAAGAAGGGAATCAAAGATTATAGGTAGACACGAATATAGAATCGAAAACACAACCATCAGTCATGATCATTTGAATGATGGGCTTGAGGTGCCAAATGGTACACTTCTGCTTCTAATTCATAAGCTTGTATGCAATTTCAAAATGTGCCAATGGTACCTAAATTGAAAATATTGTAAACAGCGTGGAACTTCAGCGGAAAATATTGACAAGATGAGTGGGTGAATAATTGGCATACCAAGTTCAATGTGGAGGGGTGCAAGATGATATATTTTAGTAAGAACACCATGGAGGGACAATATAAAATAAAAGGTATAACCCTAAAGGGAGTGTAGGAGTATAAAGACTCGGGTATATATCTGCACAAGTCATTAGAGGTGGCAAGACAGATTAAGAGAAATTAATCAAGCATAAAAGTACCCTAGGCTTTATTAACAGGAATATAGATTACAACAGCAAGGAGGTTTGTTCACTTTATACAAGACACTAGCACAGCTTCAGCTGGAGTACTTTCGTAAAGAATCGAAGACATTAGACAGAGTGCAGAAGAGGTTTATGAGAACTGTTCTCCATGAAGAAGACAGAGAAGAGACTGGATTGAAGTATTCAAATCATGAGGTCTGGACAGACCAAGCTGGGAGAAAAAAAAAAAAGTGTTCCCAATTATGAGAGGATCGAAAATGAAAGGGCACAATTCAAGTATTTTGCAAAAGCAGGAAGTGTGACAAGAAGAAAAATTTTTTCATGCAGCAAGTGTTTGGGGTCTGGAATGCAAATCCCGAGTGCGTGGTGGAAGCATATTCAACGGAGACATTCAAAGGGAATTAGATGCCTATTTGAAAAGGAAGAATGTGTAGGGTTGAGGAGAAGACAGGAAAATGGCACCAGCTGTCATGCTCATTTAGAAATCCAGTGCAGAAATGAACATACATGCAAACATATGAATTAGAAGCAGAAGTGGGCCATTTGGCAACTCAAGCCAACCATTCAAGATGATCATGACTGATCTGTTTGTTTTCAATTACATATTCCCACCTACCCTGATATTCTTTGATTCCCTTGTCTAACAAGGATCGATCTACTTCCACCTTAGACGTAGTCAATAGTCACACATACACTACCAAGGTTGTGTTCCTAAGTCGCACAACACAATATTTCTCCTCAGCCCCATTCTAAAGGGCAACAACTAATTTTAAAACAGTTCAAGTTTCTGGTCTCCCACGCAAGAGAAAATATCCTTTCCACATTCACCTTGTCAAGACCTTTCAGGATCTTGCATCCTTCAATCACATCACCCTTTGTCTTCTAAACTTCAGTGAAAACAAGCCTAGTCTGTACTACCTTTTCATTCATTCACAGGATGAGGACATCGCTGGCTAGGCCAAATTTATTGCCTATCCTTTATTGTCCAGAGGGGAGTTAAGAGTCAACTACATTGCTGTAGGTTTGGAGTCACATGTAGGCCAGACCAAGTACGGAGGACAGTTTCCTTCCCTAATGGACATTAGTGAACCAGACGGGTTTTTCCAAAAATCAGCAACAGATTCATGGTCACCATTAGACCTTAATTCTTGCAAGACATTGCAGGTACAAATTGAATCAACCTCCATTGAATCATTTCTAACGCATTTCCTTCCTTCCTTAAATGGAGGAAACTAAACCTGCACATTTTTCAGATGCAAGACTAGAAAAAGACCTATTTATACCTGTTTTCTGCCTGCAAGCCAGCCAATCATCTATCCATGCACCATGAGTTCCTATTTTGTGCAAAGATTTATATGGCATCTTGTCAAATGTCTTCTGGAAATCCAAGTACAGGATGTTTATAGGTTCCTTTTTATCTACAAAGCATGTTTCTCCTTCAAAGAATTTCAATGCTGACACTTCCTGCTTACCTTGAAGCTTTTAAAGCGCACAACTATAACCTCTTTAATAATCTTCCCCACGATAGACATCAAGCTAACTGGCCTACAGTTCGTTTATTGCCTCCCTCCCTGTTTATATTTGCAACTTTCCAGTCTGATGAAACCATTGCAGAATCAAGTGAACTTTGGAAAGTTAATAGCAACGCATCTTATTAACCAACTCATTTAAAACCAAAGAAAAATGTCTCAGGTCTCAGGTCCCACTTGTCAGCCCATAGCTTCTTCCCTAATGATGATACTTTCTGCCTCCTGCTTTACAGCTGTTACTGGATGTTTTTAAGTGTATTCCACAGAGAATGCAGAAGCAAAACTTTAAAAAATCTATTAACTTTTTAGTCCTAAAAACTTAAACCTTCTCAACCTTTTTATCTATTAACTCCTCATTCGCACTTTGTGGAAGATCAATAGGCACTTCCTTTGCTTCTTTCCTTTTTAAAATAGCTGTAAAAACTCTCACCATCTTTTTATATTTCTAGTTAACTACTTCTTGCATTCATCTTTGTGTCATTTTGCTGTACTTTACATTGTAATACCATCTGATCTGTCTGATCTTTGTGCAATTTTTTCTCCCCCAAGTTTGATGCCTGAACTTGTTTTTTGAAAGAAGCCACAGAAGGTGGATCCTCCTGTTAGAAATTTTCATTATAGTGAGAATATCCACTTAAATGATTGCTACTGCTTTTCCACTGATCTATCCCCTACTCTAGAATCCTAATTCACTTCAGGAGACTCAGCTTTCATGCCCAAATAGTTGCTTTTATTTAAGATGAAAATATTAGGCTTAAACTCAATCTTAAAAACTTTCAAACTGAATGCAAAGTTCATTTATATTGTGATCATTGCCATCTAGGGATTTCTTTGTTCTGAGATCATTAACTCATCCTAAGACAGCACACAATACTAAATCTAGTA